CCCCGTCCGCACGCCGTTGCGTCCAGCCGCTGCGGCTGCAGCTCAAACAGGCTGCACCACCACTGCGGCAACGGCCACGGCGAAAAACACAAAGCGGCTTAAGTCAACAGCAGCAGCAGCCACACTGGCGTCACTTCCGACGCGTTGCACCACCTCCTCCAGTTTCTTCCGGAAATCGCTGCTGTTGGCGGATGCCGTCGGTGTCGAGGTGGGCGACGTCGTGAGCGCTGTAGTTTTGGGCGTCGCAGTAGTGCCCGCCGTCTCCGAGTCGCTCTCTTTTGGAGCAGCGGCCTCGCCCGGTGAGGAAGAGGCACCACCGGACGGGGGCGAGGCAGCAGCGGGGTGAGCGGGAGCAACGGCACCGTCCGGCCCTTTCGCTCCCTCTTCAGGCTCAGCAGCTGCCTCGGTGTCGAGCCCAACCGCCCCCGCCTCAACCTTCGGAGTGGAAGGAACGCCGCCACCACCAGCATCAACCGCAGCCCCAAGAGGCGACTCTGCAGGAGGCGAGACATCAGAAAGTGACTCTGGTGGCTGAACCTCCTCCTCCTGCCTCTTTTGCTCCTCCTCGCCCTTCCCCTCCACATCCTGCAAAACGCTCGGAATGACGAGGCTGCTGCCGTCGGCGGCGATGGTGCACACCTCGGCGTACTTCGGGCACTTGAGTTTCCCACCCTGCAGATAACCATTTGGCACAACTTCAATTGCACTTCCCTCGGGACACAGCACAAACTCATTGGCGCCGAGGTACTTCACCTTCACTGCGCCGCCCTCACAATGCACATCTGCGCACACGCCTTCGATTTTCTTACCGCCGCTGTTTTCCACCTTCAGTGCCTCCGCGTCCAGGCACAACGAGCCACTGCCAGTCAGCGACCCTGGAAACGTCTGCTCACTTGCCCCCCCACACGCATTGGATGGTCCCCCAGACAGTGCGCTGTAAAATCTCGTCGAAATGACGGGGCACACGTCCTTCTCGCTCACACTCCCCTGCGCATCAACGACGTATGCGGTGCACGTTCCGACGTGACGACGATCAGAGGAGCAGCGAAGCGTCGTGTTGTCTTTCTCATCGCAGAACATGTGAGGATACTTCTTGGCGAGTTGCTCAGTTCTGCTGCATTTCGTCGTCAGGAAGTCGCAGTCGGTGTTGTTGCCCCACGCCATCGGCTCCGCCATGCTCCAGTTTACGCGGTAGTAGCCCAGGTCCGCAAACACCGCCAGCGTCAGCGCCGTGTAGTAGCCGGCACCGACTGTGGGAGCCATCAGTTCGTCCCGGGCACTGCGTTCCTCCCAGTGAGGCATCTTCCGTTGCGCGCCGGTATCGTCCTTCTCCAGCTCCATGCCCTCGGCCGAACCGCAGCTGAAGTGCGCTGCCGCCCTCACTTTAACATTATGCCCCGTCACCATCTTGCGCCGCACTCCACGCACGGTCGACTCTGACTTCACCATCCCCTTATGCTCCATATTCTCTTGGTTGAACCCAAGAGCATGCGCCATCTCGTGTGCGGCGACGCGGACGCTCCATGCCGAGGCAGTCAGGTACGCCGGGTTGAAGTCCATGACGCCAACGGAAGGGCGAAAGTCATCCCATTTGACACATGTGCCTGCCCATGCCGGAATATCCTCGCTGAACGGCCCAGCAGCAGCGTAGATGACCATGTCGGCATCAGCCACACCCTTCTGCTTGTGGACAACTGGAATTGTGAAGTGCTCGCACGGTCCTCCAGGATTTCTTCCCACTGAGACTCCCTCAGCCACGGGCTTGACGAGGAGTCGCTCCGCGTGTAGCTTGACGGCCCCGGGAATAATCGTCTCCTTATACCGTTGCTTCTTTTCACCCGACAATACGTCCGTGATGCTGCACGTTATAGTTGCCCCCAGGTAGTTGGTGCACTTATCCCCCGCAGCCTCGCAGTACCTCTTCTTCCTCCCACGACTTTCTTTCTCCAGATCCTCCGTGAACACTTTAATGCGGATGGGCGCCCAGCCATCGTCTTCGTCCCCTGCAGTGGCGACGGTGTACGCCTGCATCGCGCCCTGTCCCCTGCGCGGCACCTCACGCAGCACCGCAGTCGACGGCCGGACGCTCCTCCGAAGCACCTCGTCGAACGCACGGCGATCTGCAGCGGCGAGGCACCCAGCAGCGCAGCACATTGCCAGCAACAGCAGCGCTAGCGCCAGTGGGAGAAACGGCGTGGGCTGAAGCAACCGGCAAGTCATTTTGTTTTTTTTCCTTTTCCCTCCTTCTTGCCCTTGCGGTGTTGGGACCGTCAAACCGCCCCGAGAAGCCTGTTGCGGGGCAGAGAAGATGTCAAGGCTTAGCACGAAGGAGGGACGCAGTTCATGTGCACAACTGTGGGTCTCTGTGTGCTGTCACTGATGCAGCGGAATTCTCTTCAAAGCGCGTGGGCTCCCCTTCCATGATAATCGAGCAAACACACAAAGCGTGTGTGGGTGTGTTTATGTATTATCTGCAAAAGGAAAATAATCGCCTGTCGCATGGGCCCACACGCACCCAGCAAATTTCATGCATAATTTGGTCTGCGCTTCAACGCCTCAGTTGCAGCAAATCCGTAGGACTCAGGGCAACAAAAGCAAAGAAGAACAAAAAATTGTCACGCATG